CGCGGCGGCGTCCTCGCCCGCTGCGGCCGCGGCGCCCGGCAATCCCTATCAGGGCTACTCGCTCACCAACGTCGACATGTCAAGCTTCCAAGGCGTCGATTGGGGATCCATGTACGGGATGGGGATGTACGTTTAAAGAAGGAATACGTTATATTAAACGTATATATTATATATGATACCGCACGCGCTCCCGCTCTCTGATCTCTTGGATCCGACGACCGACGCCGACGGATCCTTCTCGGGGAAGAGATCATCTCATTCCCCGTGTACGATACGATATAATATTCCTTCTCCGAGGTCGTTAATTCTCGTTGTCGCGCGAACGCCTGCCTTTCGATTTTTATTCGGGGATTTAGTGTCTCTGGAAATGGCCCACCGCTCGCGCTGCAAGTAATAACACTCGACACTCGACGAAGGAATGACTTCCGTTAATGCTTCGTCGTTTTATCCATCGTTCTCTTATCTCCGAGAAACGATGCTGGGAGAGAAATGATGGGGATTCTTCGATACTTTCGTCATGGAATGGCATCGTGGGAAGCAGATAAAGCGAAAGGCGCTCCAATGAAGAAGGTTAAAATTTCAATCGATTCGCGCTCGAGCGAGGAATGAGAGTAAGGATGAGAGCAAAGATTGCCGCACACAAGAGGATCAACTATCTCCGACGTACGGAGATCCAGCGAATCAGGAACACACGCGAAGAAGGAGGACAGAGTCATCCGTATAATCATATGTTACTTTCCCAAGCGGAAATCGAATGAATTGCGTTTTAATTTTCATTATACATTACTTAATTTATTTGTGAAGAGGCGAGATTAAGTATCTCATTATATGTACGTCAGTTCTTTCTTCGAGTCCCTCGTCTTTCGTTTTCGCGCGGCTTACATCACTTTTCACAATCACGAGTCATTGCGTTTCAGCACACTTTGGTTCCTATTTAGATTAACGCGTACGCATTAGAGTCAAAAGCGCATGCGGAACCGCGTTTCAGCCACGCCCATTACGTTAATCATCGATTAATTAACGCGATCCATTAGCGGCACTCGTTTCACAGCGTTCGCGGCAACCTCGAGCGGAGCTCTCCCGAGTGTTCCCGCAACGGCCGTTCTCTCGACCATGAAGCAATAAAAGGAAGAAAGCAAGAAAATCGAGAAAGCACGGCGGACGCCGTAAACGACTCTACTCCACCAGGGGAGAGAACACTAAATCGTTTCCGTATTTCTTACTTTCCGTTATGCGCGTCCCTCTTTATTTTCTCATAATGTTTTATCATGCATAGTATATATGTATATTCGCTAACACCCCGATCGAGTTGTCTCCGTCAGTGATCAGCGGAAGCACGAACGCGATGCGTCGAACCAAAGTATGCGCTTTTATCGTTATGTCGTGGAAGAAAATGATGCCGTTTTCCCGATTACTGACATTTTTTTTATGAAAACCTTATTGGTTTTTATAAAAAAAAAATAGTCGCGTTTAGTCCCTTAGCACGAATCGAATCGTATAGCGAAAGACTAGCACTAGGAAGACTAGGATCTGCGTCCGCAACGCCAAGTGCCAAACGAACGAACCGAAGAGAGACCCGTCCATTTCAGACGGTCAAGTGCGTAATTCCCAAGAAACGAGCTCTCCGAGCTTTCCCTATTATTCGCATTCCTTTTTTCGGGATCCAAGCGGCAATTGGCAACGACGACAGCTTCATAACAGAACGACGACGGACCCTTTCAGTCTCTCTCTTCGTTGCATTGATGCTTCCGCTCGTCATTCTCGGCGGAGCCTCGCGTCTTTCCGCTTTTCCAGAGGGCAACAGGTCAATATACACAATTCACTTTGCGCGAGCGGGTAGATTCTCCCGATATATATATTACATACGTACGATATACACGAGCAACAATACGAGGGACACGTACATAACTATATATATAAAATGTATAGGTACATATATACATATGGTAAACACGTATATACACACACATATACATATATATATATATATATTTTTCTTCAAATAATGGAAGACAATATTTCTCCGCTCTCCATCGCGTTAAATAAAAATAAGACTATAGCGATTACAGATGTGTAATTCGAGTAATTCGAAAATCGCATTAACCTTTAAGCAAGACTTTTAGCGACTTGCGATATGTAATCCGCGTACGAGAAGTCGCGCGTATAGCTGTTAACCCTTTGGCCTACAACCACGAGTGAGACTCGTGGTAAGGAATTTGGTAGGTAAATGAGACTCGTGGTAAGGAGTCTGACTCGTACTTATTGTTTATGGACCAAATTCCTTATCACGATTCTCACTCATGATTGTAGGCCAAAGGGTTAAGACTAATTGACAGTATCATACCCGCGACACACGCCGCACGCGATCGGCGTAACGTAATGAGCTCCTAAGAGAGTAAAAGATGGCGAGTTGGCGAGTTCTATTTAAGTTAGGCTTAAGCGGTAAAGAGGACCGATAGGACGGCCTCAACATGCGCGCGAAGAGAGAGAGAGAGAGAGAGAGAGAGAGAGAGAGAGAGAGAGAGAGAGAGAATGTGAGACAGATACTTAAGAGATATTATTACGCATCTTTATAAAATATATTTAAGAGTTCGTGCGACTGTGTCTGCGAGAAATGGGAACCCAAGATTGAGATTAGCTCACGTAACTCAAGCGATAAATTAGATTTAAGTCTTTAAACTGCGTAAACAAGAAATTTGTGAGAAGTATTATAAAAAATATTCGTTAAGGAATTTGCGAGAGAAATGAATATTTAATTTATATGTATTCACTTGTAGAATACGCCCCGAGATCGACTCGACGGCGGCGAGTATTTAATTGGTAATATTTTTGCGAGAATTATTGTTTGTGTCTTGCTCGATTTTTGTAAAAAAAAAAACAAAGAAAGAATGTGTGTAATTAGTTTCTTTTGAATCGATATTTCTCGTCATTTTTCCTTACTTTCATTATTAAATTATTTGTCAAAGTGTTAATAGCAATGTTGGAAACTATCATTTCTCATTTTAGTCTTTAGTCTTAAGCTTATTTTCGAATTGTTCAATGCGACCGTATGATATCGTCGCGAGATATTCACTTAATTTATTTTCTTTACTTTCTATCGTCTTTCCTTTTATTTCATATTATTAGTAGTTCGTTGTAAGCGTTAAGTGCGATTGTATGCGTCAATTTGTCGCCCAAATGATCTCATGTCGACCGATGCCGACGAATTTCGAATATCTGCAACGAATCTCAACGGTCTCTTTTGATCGGAAAAGCATCACCGTCGGCGAGGACGAACGCGGGGCGTTCCTTGATGAGAAAATCACGTGAGAGATATGAAGAACTCGAGCAATAAGCGATTGACTCAAACTTTTAACTGCGCTCTAGATTATTACGAGTATTACAAAACGTCGCGGTGGCGCCTGTTGACGCGCGCGCGTATAATCAATATAAAAGGATAATCTTAGACATATACACAAACGAATACTCGATGCGAAAGGATTTGGATAATAATATACTTGTCGAAACGACAACGTTAGAGCATCTTAGAAGAGCGAGAGAAGGATCGAGCGATGAGATAAGGGTTCAGAAGGAATTCCGGTTCTTCTGAACACACAAGTAATATTCTCTAGTGATACTATATACTTTAATATACATATAAATATATATAAACAAAACAAATATAATTATATTATATACATACACCGTGACACGTTAAGGATAACAAAAACTCGCGAGTGATATTTATGACATATTAAGGGGATATTACAAAAGTAGGAGTGAATGTAGAAGAAAGAAAGAAAGAAACGTGACGAAAACGGTGACGAAGGTGGTAGATGATCGACGAAACGTGACGGAGTGAGCGAGGATCAGCTGAGAGAGGCGTATGTCTCGTTTCAGTTCCCGTTCTCGGCGACTCTGCGTACTCGTACTACGCCAATAATGTGAGGAATGGGCGCGCGTACTTAACGAGTCCTCCCGTCCCGGATAACCCCGTAACATCGGTGCGGTACCCTCTGACTCTCGTTCCTGCTTCGCCATCGATCCATCTTCCACCTCTTTTCAGCTTCCTCTCTATTCCTTTCTCTCTCTCTCTCTCTCTCTCTCTCTCTCTCTCTCTCTCTCTCTCTCTCTCTCTCTTTTCTTACTCCAGGAAATTTACATGTGAGAAAGGAAATGAAATTAATTAGAACCGAGAGTATCTGTTTGTGTATCGTAGCATTTTCTCGGCAGCGTTTCACACTGAAAAAAGTGTTTGGTATTTGTGATTATAATTTTGCACGATAAAATAATTATGGTTTGAAAAGTTTCATTTTTATAGTTATTACTGCTATAATGTTAGTAATAATTATATTTATAATGCCATATACTAAAAAGAGTACATAGTTGTCTCTGAAAATGACTATAAAATTATAATTGTTTTCGGAGACAATCAGTCATTTTACCATACAATTATAATTGCAAATACTAAATATTTTTTTCTCAGTGCAAAGTGAAGGGTAGAAAGAGAGAGAGAGAGAGAGAGAGAGAGAGAGAGAGAGAAACAGAGAGACGCACTGTTCGCGAGTTGTTCCGGAGGTAGGTGCTTTTCGAGCTAAATCGGTATTATCGGAGCGTCTCGATGCCTTCTCGATGTATTTATTTTCAAAGTTGCCTTCTAGAAGAGCGCAGAAATCCTGAGACAGGCGCTCACAACGAGCGCGCCCGATGATACCGTTTTATGCTTTTTTGCGAAATCTTAGCTACAGTCCACTTGATGCTACTTTGATTGATTGATGAAAAAATGCTTTAAAGCAATTTTTAATGATCAATTAGTAAAATTTTTTCTTCTGATTCAGAGTCAGTCAAATGTTTCGAAGCATTTTTAGCATCAAGTGGACTGCTGCACCCCTTTTTGGAGGAACGCAGAGAATCGGGGATTGGGACTGGCGTATAGTTTCGGTGGGTTCAATTTTCGACATGAAAGACCTTTCCATCTCGTTCCATCTCTTCCCTATCATGAATATATGTCGAAATTACTCGCAGTTCCATCGAAATTTGATCTTGCCGAAGTTTCTCGACTGCTCTTTCACTCCCCCCGATTGATAATAGAATACTTCGCCTAGTTTCTATACGTTCTATATACGGGTCTCGAAACAAGCCTCAATCGTCGTTGGGGAAGCGAATTCTCCGGGCGGATCGTCGTTGAGACTGCAAATCGGGATTATCATACATGTCTCGGAAATTCGGCGATGTACGATCCAAGATTATTACCGCGGCCGCGGCGCGCGGTTGTAGTGTACTCCTCTCGGTTTGAGAGACGAAGGAGCGGGAAAATTTCGCATGGAATTTCAGCAATAAATTTAGCGATACAGAGAGCGGGTCGTTTATCCGCGTCGTAAAGCGTCGCTTGACGTTTTTCTCTCAACTATCGCGTTTCAGAAATGTCTTATCGCAATGTCGTGTATCGCCCCGACGAGAGACGTGACGATTTTACCGAGTACTCTCTGTAACGATTTTGCAATCTCTAACGGAACGTTATGAGCTGTAATGGGAAACTTCTAATCTGACTCGATATCACCTCGAATCACTCGGAAGAAAGCAGAGTATTATCATACGAAATACATTGTCAATTCGTTACGCGATATACGAAACTTTCATTGCATTCCGAATATGCAATTTGTATATTAAATTATAATTACATCGATTTATAATCAAGATGTAGTCTAATCCATTATAGCCCAAACGTATAATTATCGCGATGTATCGTAATGTTGTTGAGCTGTAACGAACAAGTTATGGGCTTTAGATACGAGATCGATAATAGCTTAAGTAATATTAATCCTTTATAGGGCAAGAGAAGTCGAGTATGATTTTGGAAAAATTAATTAATATAAAGTTCTATTAACATTTACTTCTGTCGCGTAATACTTTTTGTTATTTTTTCTATTTTTTTGTTTTTTTAATTATCAAATGTACAGGTGATAAAGTGATGTAAATTAAAACGAAATGGAATTATGTTGATGCCCTACAAAGGGTTGAAGAATTACAGTCGCTGATAAATGTCTTGTAAAATAGAGCCATCGTGCCCTTTATTTCCAAACTCGGTGGAACTTTGCAATTTTGCAAAATCGTGAAATCGTCATCGTCGACAACAAAAAAAAAAGTACCACGATATTCGAACGGCGAGAATCGACATCCATATTGTATGATCGAGTCTCGCTTAGTCTGGTGTTTATCTAATATCTGCTCAGTGACAAAAAGATAACATGTCGTCATCGTCGAGAAATATGTCACCACGGCGAAAGCCACCACGTCTCTCTTTCCCGATCAGCAAGTCCCTCTTCCCTCTTCCTTCGATCTATATATATATATATATATACACACACATATATATTTATATTTGTATCTCAGTCTGATAATTATGTATCTTATATTGCGAATGTTGATATAGTAATTATTAGCGTAGCTGGTATTTTTTGATGAGCGCTAACCACCACTAGTTGTGTATGAAACGTAGGTGAAGCATGCTGGTTGAAATATCTCTCCTCCTATATAATATTGTCATCCAACCCATTTTTTTAATTCTCCGAACCTCTTCCCGCCCGTCTTCCGCTTTTCTTATTACGGTTCGCTTGCGGTTCCGCTTTCCCATCGACACGAACGTCATTGCTCGAGCATTCAAAGGGGATATAAGGAATAAAATAGAAAGAGATAATAAGAAACTCTGACTGCCTGCCAGTGTACCGCGCTGGTGTACGTTTTCGGTATTCGAGCTTCACAATCCTTTAACGATTTTCCGTCGTTGCGCTACTTTATCGATGAATCGCGATCTGCTTGATCAAGTCTTCTCGTTTAATTACGATCGTTTTACATCGCGATTACGGCAATTCCAGCAATAGAATATTACGAACGAGCGTTCTCTTAATTCCATTTATTTTCCGCTTATAGTTTTCTCATTCGGGATTCACTAAGTCAACATCGCTCGATATTGTTGACAAGAACCGATGCTTTCCCCGCGATTAGCGATCTTTTTACTTCCGCCCCTCTACCCCCATCCTATCTAATTTCTTAATTTCTCCCTTCGATCCTAGCCACTTCGACCTGATTGTGAGAAACGTTCAGACGAGAAACACTCGCGAGCGAAAACTGTCGTTTTGGATTTCTTATGAAAGATCAATAATGATGATACGGGAAAAAAGTTAAAAAATTTAA